CTCTGAACGAATGGTATGAAATTTATCGTGACCCTTGTGAAGAGAGAACCATATTGGGCAACTCTTGCACGTTGCAGGGACGAATGGAGACGTTACTGGCGCCCGCTCGAGGAACTCGATGATCAACGGGAGCACAGGTGATACACAGGTGACTCGATCCGCTAGCAAGTTTTTTGGAGTCATTATCATGAGCGTCTGGGTTTTTGGGTAAATGATGGGAACTGTTTCACATTATGCTTACTTTCAGAAACTTTTTTGTAGGATCATTTCGACGTCTTCTGGTGCTGTCGTAGCTTTTCTTTCAAGCGCAATGTCTCCAGGCGTGATTCCTGGAAAGCTACGACAGTTTAGGAAGGTGCAAAGTGCCGAAGTTTATGAGAAACCAGTATGTACTGCTTAAGCATAAGTTCAGAGTTTTTTGGAAACGAAGCTACTTTTGCTTATTTGAATTACACAATATCTAGATCATGATGAGATAAAAGCATTAGCCGCGCTAAAGGTATGGGACGGACGCAGACAGACAGCTAAGGTAGGGCAGCACGGTGCTTCCTGCGCATCTCTCAGTAAATCACGCCCTGCGGTGGGGGCAAAAGATCCACTTTACGGCGAGGCATCGTAAGCGGTTGCAGATAAAGTCAATTGCGCGACATTCACACCGGAACCTAATGAACATGATATGGAACCGCATGTCGAATTAGCTAGCTATGAAATATGGGTCTGTGGGCATCATCGCAAAGTGGATTTCCCAAGCTACCGATGGCAGTCGGGGCTCAACCGCGGGCCGTACCACACTAAGCCTTCCGAGTCATTGGGTGGTGTGGACCAGTTATACCCTACCCCTGTCCCATCTAGCTCTGAAGGTAGTTTTTGCCGGGCGGGAGACGTTACTCCAATGTGAAGTCTCGCACAATCTAGCTCTGCGGCACTTCCAATCGGATACTGGTGCAAATGCCGCGCACGTGATGCTGCTTGCAACTTCTCCTTTTGTAGCCCACACGGCAATGGTGAATCACATCCCATAACTCTTCAGAACATGTCACAATTTTTTTAAATCTTATATGGTAACAACGTAATAACCTTACTCAATACTAGTTCCATGTCACCGCCTCCCAATAGATATTTCAGATTATGGAGAAAATCAGAGCAGAGCTTGCTGCAGTCACAAATCATAATCGATCAATTTCATTATCTGACAAGGACCATACCCCATATCTGAACTGGACATTACTGGTCAGCTATTCTGAGCTCGTGTAATTTTGGAAAAGCTTCATTATTGCGAGGCTTCTTTTTCTTTATATTCCAGGAAATACATCGTCTGGCAGCCATTCTAAATTTGAATTTGTTCCGCAGAACCAAGGAAAGCAGAATTGTCGGCGGACACTCCAATCCCTGAAAAGAACCACTGGCGGATGCTGCTGGAAAGCTAGTCTGTAATAATGCAGAGCGATGAAAACACTTTCAAAGAACCTGCTAAAGGTAGTTGAACGGCTTCGAACAAAAATGCAGGTCGTTGTTCATAACATCCGCGTGACCCTGGCAATTCATTCGCCAAGATTAGTGCGCGAATCGCGGCGCCAACCATGCGGAGGCCCGTTGTAATGTTCAATGAGGCTCTATCCCAACAATGTAATTCGCGAACCAGAAGTTGTCAAATGTTGGCAGCGAAATGTAACGTTGAGCGCGTACGTCGCAAGTCGCGCTGACTCTCATTCTGAATCGTCTTAGGGCGGGAAGTATGCATTGCAGCTTGGAAACTGGCTCTCAAAGGTCGCGCATGTGGTGAGCACTAAGGGACAAGATGTTTTTTTGAACTTCCATCGGAGTTCCGTCGGAGAGGGAAGGTAATTGCAGTGTGGAAGGCGGTAAGGTCTTCATTGCTGTAACTTGGAATATAGTTTTGAACACGAAAGGAGGTGAAATGTCTTCCAAGATGGTGGTGCTCGGGAAATACTAACTAAGGCAAACCAATAAGTCAAGACCGATCCCCGAGCTCCTTTGATGTATTTATGAAGGGTAAGGTAGCGTCCTTACTTTGTAATGACGCGCGTTGACGCGTTATCGTAACAGACTCCTATGCTACAGACACTTATTGGCGGGTATCTATTGGCCGTTGCTTAGTCACACTGGTGTCGATCGGCATCTGCCGCTAGTGTTTCGGGAACAAGACAGATTCCGGTGAATCCGTGTTACAGTAACCCGGATTGTCATTGGGGCGCGTTGTTGGATTGGAGCATGGCCCACTGGCCCTTTAAACATTCAGCCATGGAAGGTGCAGGTACATAGTTACTTTCTTGAATTGACCCATCGAGAGGGATTTCAGCACCCTGGTTTCTAAATGCAGGAACAAAGTAGGAACAATGCAGTACAGTGAGTTGAGTAGTTAATGCTAAGTTCAAGTTTGTCAAGTTGTTTATAAGGTTTCTCTTTTGTTTGATTGTTGTTACTCTTGTTTTTTTGTGTAGATCATCTGCAGCATTGCAACCGCAACTACTAAGCTGCGTGCTATGTTCTAAATCTTGAACCTATACTCCATATTATTCACTTCTTTGGATATTTTTTTCGTTGTTGTTCTTTCATATTGTGCTTGTTCGTATATGGGTAACTCTGTTTGCGGAGCTCCAAGGGAATTCGCACCAATTACTGGTAGATTCATTTATCACTATTTCACTTATTCTCAGATACTCACTTAACACGGGATTATCACTTAATGCGGGATTGCTTACGATAGTTGCCGTCTCATTTTCTGCTAATCACTACTGTAATATTGTGTTTAATAGTTTGAGAATTGCGCTCGTTCTCAGCAGTGTATTGGAAAATGACTCGC